GAAGATTATCCATTAACACTCATGCATGTCAACGTTAAGCAGTCAAAATGGGAGAATTTTAAATTCTACCAAGAAAGCAGAATATTTAGTAATTGGACAGGGAGAACTCTGGGAAAGTGACGTGAGGGTCCCCATGGCCTCTGTCCCTGATGACCCAGTTATTATTTGATTTATGTGAACTTGCAGCTGCCCTTGCTTCGACCCCAGAAAAGGCTGTGTGGGAAGTTTGTGTCTCGGAGCCGTAGCATTGCTCTGCAGAGCGTCTGGAGCCTAGTGTATGCACAGAAACTGATAAATAGGGAAAAGGCCCAGTTTGTTCCAGCTGGACTCAGAGCTAGGATCAGCGCTACAGCCCAGCACTCAGCTCTGGAAGCAAGAAACTCTGTGGAACTACCGTAAGTATTTCATTTACTTCTCCGAATGCTCTGGGATTATAAATTGTTGCTCTAGCCATAAATCAATTTGCCATGTGAAAATATTTCAGGCATTGGGCTTTTTTCTTCTTTTTCTTTTTTTTTCTTCCTTTCTTTTTAAACGGCTGACTAAATGAAAGTAGAAAACGTGCACTTTTAAATTTGGTATCCTACTGCCAAGAATTTGTTCCAACAGTACTTCATTATTTGACATACAGAGTGAAGTAAAACGACCTTTAAATTCAATTATTTGTTTCCCTTCCCCAAAGTACCTGGAAAACTAAGTTTCAAACAACCCCTAACCTCTTATTTTACTATGTATAAAAATTATACCTTCAAAATAATTATTCGTGGGGTAACAATTCCAAAAGAAGATTTCAAGATAATTGCACACAGCCCATTAGTGAAATAAGCCAATTCCTACTATGGTTATTGTATGACAAGGAAAGAACACATTTAATGAGAAGTGGGATTTCTTCAAACAGCAGCTTTGGGGAGCTTCTTGGCACATTAAAACTGGGAGAAACAGATAAAACCTTAATAACACGTATAAGCTGCATACAAGATCAATCAAGTGATCCTACCACTTCCCCTGCAAAATCATTCTTTAATTACAGTAATCGGTGACTACTGAATTGCTTGAGTGAAACTTAATATATCACCTGGCATCGCACGTAGTTGCCAGCGCTTGTGCTCAGTTAAATTTTTTTTTCAGTTTTTGTTTTAAATTTCACAAATTAAGAAATTAAGCTATGCTTTCCAGAAGTAAAAAAGTACAGTGATTAACACTGAGATTGAAAAGTGTTATCTAGTTCCACTACATGATCATTAAAATGCCACAAGGTGTGTTAAATAAATGTTGAAGACCTTCAGCTTGAGTTCCTAAAATTCCCTCTAAACAAGAAATTTCCCTATGACTCAACTGTCAAAATATTTGTGATAGCAGTTAAAGTACTGTCAATACATACCTCTTCAAGAGCTCCCTAGAGCCTCTTCTACAAGAAGTAAGTTTTGCATCTTAATAAATTCTAATAATGTAAGTTGATGATATGTTACTTTATGATATGGTTACTTTATAGCAATAAAAATTATAAAAACAGCATCTTTCACCATAAATAACAAGAAACACATGTACGGTATGTATTCTAGTCTGAACATGTAAGTTCTGTTAAGTGACTGGTTTGTGATTCTACTTTACTTTTATGAATTAACGTCTTTTTTTCTTTTTCTTTAATGGCTTCCATCTTTGATAAATTGAAAAGTCTTTCAGTTAGGACTAATAACTGAATGTTGCTGAATTTCTGTATTAGATGGATAACCAACCCCTTGAATATATTCCAGTTTATATTGAATGTTATTAGTTCAGAAGACTGATTACTGTCAAACTAAGCCTGTAAAAGTGCAACATTTTCAAACGTGCTTAAGCAACCTACAGCCTAGGTCACGTCTTCTTCTGGAAGGAAGAAAAAAATTAAACTCTCCCGCTTGTAGAGGCTTTTAAAATTAAAAACACACACATACACACCACCCCCACAAATGCTCAGGATTTCACACATGAAAATACCCAGCAGATATAAGACCTCAGAAGTAACTGAGAAGAAGGAAAAGCAGGGAACAGCACGTGCCTTTAGGCAGATGACATTTTTTTTCAGGTCAGTATGTCTGACTAAGGACTAAAGACTTTCATCCTAACTGCGTTACTGCTTGTGATTCTATGAAGCAAGTTATTAAAAAATTCATCTTCTTTTGTTTTCAGTTATTTCAATTTTTTAGGCTAAAGACCTTTATGCATCATCTCTGGGTATATATTTCTTTTTTTTGCTTCCTTTTTAGAGCACACATACACAAAATGTATGGCTATATTTTGAGTACACAGAAAAGAGAAAAATGGGCACAAGATATTTTGGTTTGGGAATGGCATGACTATAACTGCCCCAAACACCCAAAGCTCTTACTCCAATCTTATTTCAACTTTGTCCAAGTTCTCATGTTTTGAAAATTACAACTGGGCATGTATGCTACGTTCTGTCAAGGATTCCACAGTTTCAGTGTGTGGCTAAGCTTTGTGCGCATGCAAATTTCTTGCCTGGACGGCAAAGAGTTAATGAATGTATGTATGGGCTGAAGAAGTGTCCTTTAGGTCATGGTTCACTCCCAGTGAGGAGTGAGAGATTAGGGATGGCTACTGAACTTTTGAGAGACCAGCACATAATGCATCACAAAATTTCAGTGACTCCTACAGTTTGAAGGCTTCCCCACTGCTGACTGACTCATGTATGAAGGGCGAGGCAAAGGCTGTAATGCATGACTATGACAGTCAATCTTATAAATAATCAAAACTTTCCAGTCCTAGAAAATTAAGTTCCTTCCTTGCATATCTTATTCTGTTCTTCATATTTTTTTGTTTTAAAAAGCCCAATGCTATTTTATATCAGAAGAACAAGCTTGTTAAAGCTAAATTCTCAAGTGTCAGAAAATGAAACACTTAACATTCGTGCATGGGCATGACCATTAAGTCTCATTTCAAGACAGTATAACATTCCTCAAATAACCACTGCATTTACTACTAATACTATAATAACATTCTCTTAATTTGCGTTTCAATTTACAAAGTCTCATTCTAAGCTGGGAATTCTGTGGTTGCAACTGCTAACTTTTATTAGCCATAAAAATCAGTACGAAGGGCTAAATCCTCAAATCCATTCTCACACAGTTACCTAAATTGAGTAAACTTTGCCTAATGGAAGTCTGCTTCCACGACTTAGAACGTTTAATCAGCTGGCCACCTTGCATTTGGTAATTTGTACTTCATACTCCCAATATAATATTTTTATCAGACTGGATCATTGTAATTTTATTTTAGCTTCTATTCTTTTACTATTTGTATTTAAAGAAACTACTGGAATCCAGAAACACATTTCTTCAGCAAATACACATTTTTGGGGAAAAATGTAGACTTTGCCCAGGCCAAATTGATCTAACTGATAAGGACCTCACGATTCAGTGAGTCATTTCTCTTTTAAACAAATATTTACTAGCAGAGATAACAAAAAAAAAAAATCAGCATTCCAGCCTCACTGCATCTTTTCACCTTCTGCTGACAACACAAAGAGAAAGTGCTCAGTTCCAAAGACATGTCCAGTTTTGGGGGAAGAAATGTATGTCTTTCAAGACATGACTTCAGTTCAGATTCCCTGAAATGATATATTCCTTTTTCTCAGCTGTAGCTAGATGTAGGTATTGCAGAAAACCCAACATGCGAGTCTTTCAAGGAAGATCTTTAAACCCAACTTGCTGTAAATTCCTCAAGAGGCATATACAGACAATCCTGTTGCACACATAGGAGCTTGATTTTCTCTACTTTCCAAATACTTATTTGCCTTTTTCATCTTTTCTGTCTTTCCTGTCTGCTCAGGGAAAGCATATGAATAGTTCATTGGCAAATTGTCTTCTAAGTCCTTACTCAATGGGCATCAGTTACAACATACTTTTAACCGGTGACACTCTCAAACATTCCACACATGCAGAGGGATAAGGAGGCAAGGAAAATATTTCCTACTTACTTCTCTAACGGCTACTCCATTACCACTCAATTGCTAAGCAATAACAGAGATTGTCTATACACATATGGAAACTCAAACCCAGATGATGCTAGCATCTGTATAGACATTCTTTTTTTTCCTGAAACTCTTTTAAGAACACACTTTTTCAGAACCTCTCTATAAAGGGAAATTACTGAAAAATAAGATAAGTTTTGAACAATAGCTATTCCACACCAACTGTATCAGTGTGAGCTCTCAGTACACTTTGTTATGGTGAACATCAAAGCATCCAATCAGGAGCCCAGGCTCCTTCAATAATCAAGGGACAGAGAAAAGCTCTCTCGAGGGCAATACATCCTGTATGAGATGGATTTTTTTGGTCTTCACAGGATGCTTCGTACTCTTAAAGGAATACAGGCTCTTAAGTTTGGAACCTAATGTAAATTAGGCAGTGCTTAAGTGGGGCAAAGCTGACTTTTACTCCATAAAGAGTATTTACACGGGGAAGAGATATTCTGTGCTGGCCTTTACAGGCTATTTTCCTATATTTACTTGCTTCAAATTTGCATAAAAAGTAAATGAAACAAATTCACTAAAAGCCCATCTTTGTGCAGAAACAGAACATCCACTACATACACATTAGTGCAAATGCCCTAACTCATTCTGAAAGTGAATTTTTTCTATCCAGTGAAGCTCCTTTTAATCTCTTCCTGAACTAGAGAATTTACCAATGATTAGTCTGATTCCTCACATGGTTTCCTGTAAAATTAGGAGCAAATCAATTCTAAATATAACTTGGAAATTTAGGAATGGACTCTATCCTGAGTCTGTACTATCAGGACAATCAATGTTTTGCAACCTCACTGAAAGTATTATGTGACTTTGCACATACCTCTGATTTTCTTACGATCTGCAAACTTTCATATTCTGGAGTTTTCTAGTTTTAGCTCTGTAGCTACCCAGCAATTATTTCTCACATGATGTTTCTCTTACTTTTGCATTTCTCTAGGCTGCCTTCTTAAAAGTCTATCACATAGCAAAGTGAATGAAACAGTGCGGTTGGGAGCAGAATATGGCAAATACATTTGTCACTGTACCTGATGGGTATTGTCTTCCTGAGCCCATACAGTATTATGGTGAGTAAAGCATCATTTTTATATTATGAAAAAGCAGTATAGTAAAATGAACATCTGTGGAAATTCCTGTTATTTTCTTCATTTTAGCTTATCTTTACAAGCTCTTAGAAGCTACACATTTGACTATCAAGCCCATACTGAAAGTGTATTGAAATACACTAGCATGTGCTCATACAGATTTTTGTACACAATGTGATTATGGTGACTGACCATTTCATATAAACATTACTGGTGCTGTCTCCCTTTGGCTTGCGTGAAGAAGATACAGGTTTTATTACGGTATTCCAGATACATTATAAAATAGATAATGTATAGAACTATAATTGCAATAACTAATTTGATTCTGGATGAGTAAAAGCAGGACCCAAAGCCCATCAAAAAGACCTCCAAACTGCTTAAAAAAAACCCAAACAACTTTCAAATTTGTTTTTACAGAGATCTGAACAATCCCAAAGGAAGAATGAAACATGGTGCATGTTGCACAAGCTTTCTTCAGTGCAGCCGTGTACATTTAAAGGGGGTTAGATAAAATTAAAACTCTACAGACAAAGGCAGGAAAAGCTCTCTTCATAATTCTGTACATACATTTTGCTAAAATGAAATTTCTTAACTATAAAGAATTATATGTGGGTAAATACTAAATAAAACAAGCCTCTGCTTTTTATTCTACTGAATTTCAACTTTAAGACTCCTGTCACAGCAATTTTTACCACTCTATAATTTCTGGACCATCTTTCTCAGATGCTTGTTGTGTGACATTTTCAAAATTATGCCTGAAATATGTATCAATAACAAACATTTAATTCATTAACAAATTCACTTACTTATGGGAAAATATTCTTCTGCAATGTGGACAACTAATAAAAACAACCTTTAAGAGTAAAATCAAAAGGTAGCTCTATCATCAGCTGGCAAACGATACTCCGTTATGTACTAACAAGAATCCACTGGCACCCACGTGACATTGCCCAAACCCTTACCAAGTCATTTTCACTACATCGAAGATTTTACTTAAAAACATTATAGGTAGCACATTTAGAAAGAATGTGTCAGGCTGCCCTTCCAAAAATGTGTTCCTCTAATATATACTATCTGATTAAATATTTTCACCTATAAAACATTTTAAAACTTTCAGGTAGCTGATGTTGAAATATTCTTTGGGTTTTCGTTCAATTTTCAATTTCTGCATCTAGACGTTTTACCAGAGCACATCAACTATCAGCTGCAAGACACGGATTTCCAGACTGCGCCTTACTGCCAGTACTCGGCAGTTCAAATTCCTCCTCCGGTATTACAGCCGCAGCCTCCTCAGTCCCCGTACAGCACATACGGCCTGGACTCTCAGTACAGCGACGGGCAGTGCATCATCAGCAGCTGTGAATTAAGCAAACCCCCTTTCACGGCTCCTCACGTTGATGACGGGGGATACCAAGGACTAAAACGGCCAAGATTAAACCACTCTTCCTTGCGACTGAAGGGACAGGAGGAGCTGTGTGTTGTGTGCGGTGACAAGGCCTCAGGCTATCACTACAACGCGCTCACCTGCGAAGGCTGCAAAGGTAAGAGGCCGATCTGCATCTTACCCAGGACTGTGGCCCCACGCTGCTAAACACAATGTTCCGTATCTGTGGGTTAAGCAAACAGATTTCATTATTTTTCAAGCTGACGTTTCTACAGAGGATTGTAATTTATCTAAGGAATCCTTTGTCTAACATGCTTACTCCAGATTCACATTTTTATAACGTTTTTTGAAGAAATGCTTTCACAGTGTGTATTTAATATAAGCATTTCATGCAACTAATTTTTGCACTGATTATTCACTAAAATAGTGTCTGTTTAAGCAGGTGCTGATTTTCTCATGACCATTTATTATAGAGTTACTTCAGCATTATTAATTTTACTTATTATTAAAATTAAATAAAAACAAGTAATAATTACTTGCTACTTATATTTTAACTTGCTATATGGGAGCTGTCTTGATCAGGCAAGGAAAACAGCGATTAATATTAGTCAGAAAGAACAAGACATAACTGTCATTAAAAAGCAAATTTAAAATCAAGGTAATGTTTCCATGGCTAAAAAAAACCCCAAAACCTGACACAAAAAAACCCCAAAAGACACTTTAATTCTTTAAATCATTATGAGATAAAGCTCCTTAGATTCCTTCAGTCATAACCTGATCCTTGTCTGTAGGCTTCTTTCGACGTAGCATAACCAAAAACGCAGTCTATCGATGCAAGAATGGTGGTCACTGTGAAATGGACATGTACATGCGAAGGAAGTGTCAGGAATGTCGCTTGAAGAAGTGTAAAGCTGTGGGAATGCTAGCAGAATGTAAGTGCTCCTTCCATGCCGGCTACTTTACTACTCAACTCTGATAAAACCTTTTCCAAAGTCAATCCCTTCTCCTCACTAGAGCTAAATGGTATTGGTCTAAACTTCATTTAGCTGTGCGAAAAGTTAACTTTGGAGTCTGTAGCGCCTGTAGCATCTTCATCTGCAGAGACTACCAATGCTTGGGAAGTATCTCCTGAAGTTAAGAGGACCGCTGTTCAAAGACATTACAAGGAAAAAAAGAGAGTACTAACAAGAGATTGCTCCTGAACCTTGGCAGGATAGCAGCGAGCATATCAGATGTGCTTCTGTGTTTGGAAAAAAAATAAAAATTAAAAAATTGCACAATAGTTTTTCATGAAAAATTCTCAGGCACAAGCAAGATAGCATTAGAAGACTACAAACACTCCGGCCTTTGGTGGATACTGAACGCTGGCTCGCCTAATGAATAACACATTACCATATTCTCTAGGAAGCGTAGTTCCTTATAGCTGACGGCTCCTGTGATGCAAGACTCATGTTATCTCTAATAATAAAAGTGATTATTTCAAACTGTAATTATTTGAAAATATACGTATTGATACACACTTCCATGCCTCGTAGGTTTGCTGACTGAAGTACAGTGCAAGTCAAAGCGACTCAGGAAGAATTTCAAACAGAAGAGCAGTTTTCTTTGCAACATAAAACTGGAAGATGAGGGACTGAATAGTAAGCATGTATCATCTACAACAAGATCTGGAAAAGTGGGATATTCTTCTATTTAAAATACCTCTTTTTATCATTTATTTTTGCCCCAAGTCATTGTCATTTGATTGGTTAATTTTTTTAACAGATCCCAGAGAAGATGGAACTTACTCCAGGGGAACATCAGCTTCTTGACCACATTGTAGCAGCACACCAAAAATACACAATTCCCCTTGAGGAAGCAAAGAAGTTTGTACGTATACAGAACAATCAGACTGCATTGCTAAGTTATTATCCTAAGCACTGTATCTTGGTTATATCAGATGTCTAAACGCTCTTTCATGCAGCTACAAGAAAGTGCAAGTCCTGAGGAAAGTTTTCTCCGTCTCTCTGAGACAGCAGTTGTCCATGTACAAGTGTTAGTGGATTTCACAAAAAGACTTCCAGGTAAGTTCCTTCCTTTGGGAAATGTTACAGAATAGTGTGACTCTGTTTCCTTTGTTTGTTTGTTTGAAGAGGCAGAAACTACACTGATGGCATGAATCTGAGAAAAATACAAGCTTTAAGAAAACTCTCATTCAACAGACTGTTGTATCTTCCAACTCTAACAATCAGGGTTACGTCATGAGGACAAGTTAGAAGCATTCACTTCAAAAGCCTGCTATGATTAGATTTCCATTTCTGACACAGACTAGAGACATTTTCTGAAAGTACATGGACTTTAAAATACCATCTTGAGCGAATTACTATTTTAACACATTCTCTGAAATCCAGTTCAGTTTGCAATTTATTACAGTCATCAAAGAAAAAAACCAATGTTCCTTCAAAGGAAAAGGCAGCACAGAAGGGACTAACCAGGTGCTCCTATTCATATTTTCCTTTAATAAAGAGCAAGGGAACATGCAATTAAATTCACTACATTTCAATGTAAAGTTGACAAAGTAACATTTGACAGGGAGGGTGATAATTTTTTCATTACTTTAAGTTGTAAAACTTATTGACAAAAGTCAATCAACATGTCTAAAGCAGATATTTGATGTAATTTAGCACTACTGTGTGGAACAGATCTGAAAGAATAGATGAGCTATTTGTTTTATTATGTTACATATCCTGCTTTGATCAGGATTAAGAAAAGAATCAATAAAGTTCCTTTGCTCTTGAATTATAAGTGCAGATATGAGTTTGTCAAAAGATTAACATAATTTTTAAAAAGATATCAATGAATAAGGAGAACATCTACAGTCACTAAGCAATGTAGCAAATTTATAAGGTATTAGGCCATGTGATATAAATCAGATATTAAGAAGAAATTTTCAATAAAGTCTTGCTTAGTCCCAACATTTTTACTTGTATTACTGTGAATCATCTAACACTGGACACAGATGACTGCACTTTTTCCATTTTTTTTTTGTCTAACTTGCAAAATAGCAAGAAAGATCCCAATAGCCTTTGGTACACGCATCTTTTAACTACAGCTCCTCCTTTCCAGTAAAGGCATTTATTAAAAAAATCATTTTATCAACTCATGTTAAGCACTTAAAGGTAGCTACAGCCTGCCTTGATTCTTAACATGCATCTTTCTCTGCAGGATTTGAAAGTTTAGCTAGTGAAGATCAGATTGCGCTGCTAAAAGGGTCAACAGTTGAGGCAATGTTTTTGCGTTCAGCCCAAATATATAACCAAAGAATCAGTGAATGCCAACCATCAACAAGTGAAAGTAAGTTTGACTAACGAGCTTTCTGTTAACAACAGTAGGAGGTTCTGCTATTTCGAAGCAACTTCCATTCATTTTAATTCATGTAATCTCAAATAATTTCCTATTCAAGCATAGCGGTACTTAGAATAGTACCGGTAATACCCACATACCTTCTATAAGCTTTTTTTCCAAAGAGCATACAAAAACAGTTAAAAAAGGGGGATCTCTCTTTTCCTCCCATTGGTTCCAAACAAAGAGCAACATTTTTGAGTGTTTGCACAAATTGTGGGGTGGATGGATAATATTAGCTATATTAATGACATATTATGTATTGTGTCAAGTTTAACACAAGAGACTTAGACCAGCAATAATGCAACAAATGAACTTGGTGCTGGAGGCCAAAAGAGAACAAGTTTTTCTACCTGCACGGGTCTGGGAAAAATTCACACATTTTCAGGTATTTATCTGCAAAGCAGATGCAGACAAATATTTAAAGTCACATTAAGCTTGGCTGGGAACTGTCATCTCTCATTCCAGGTCACGTAAGACTTTCTGATCATGGGACATGTTGTCACGTTCAAAACCTTGATAAAAACAACATTTACTCCATGGAAGTGTCTCATAACGAAGAGAGTCCAACTTCCACTACTACCACAGGTAACGGAAGTCTCAGAATCAAAATATTTGGGAACCTTTTGCTTTGCTGACCCTGTTCGCAATCGCGATGGCCAACACTGACGGTGTGGCCACTGCTCGTCCTCTTCTCTTCTCCCTCTCCCCTCCTCCAGCTGCTGTTACACGCGCAGGCGTTGCATCCTCATGGAAGGAAGAGCTGCTGTTCACGTTTGCTTATATCCATGCATAAAGCCTTGAGCTATATGTATAAAAGGCTCCAGGGTACAACTTTGACACAACTTTTGTTACTACTTTAGAAATCAACATTGTTTTCACAAAGTCTGCTAACTATTTAATGCAACGGAACAGCCTGGAGCTATGAAGGATTACGACAAAGATGACTCCCTACAGCAGCGCCTGTTTCTGCATTAAAGTAACTTTCTGATTGTTTTATTTCGCTTCAAGGTATAACCGAGGAGTTCATTACGGCACTGTTTTACTTCTACAGAAGCATGGGGGAACTGAAAGTGACCGAGACCGAATACGCCCTGCTTGTAGCAGCAACTGTGTTTTTTTCAGGTAAAGCGGGGGGCAGCTGGCTGCAGGCGTGCTACGAGCGGGCCTCGCCCCAGGCGCT